GCCCGACCTCGAGCATGATAATTAATTGTGTAGTTCATTCTGTGTGCTGTTAAAAAAGAATTGCAAATCGTAGTTCGTTTAAAAGGAACTCGACGGTTTGGTTTCTTTCTGCCAAGCTTGACCAATGAAAATCTAAAAAAAATCATGGGCATACCTGGACATGCTCTTTGCCTACAAAGATATCTAGCAGGTAAGAAAGCGTGTCTCTGTTGATACAATGATAGGATCGTGTTTGACGTGTTTGACGCGTTTGTCACTGTCATGTGATGGTGACAGGCTTGTGATGCATCCACCACCATCCAGCTCGTCACGCACGGCTAATATTGCGAGCGGCTCACGAATGGCTCTCAGCCCCATAGATACCTCTTTAACTGCACTTCCACCCCATCCTTCCCGATCTGTTGGTTTCCAAAAACCGCAAAACACGTTGATGCTGCAGAGCCCTTGGAGCGGCCCGAGCGCGCAGAACTCTCCTTTGTCGCGTTTTTTTCCCATGCCTGCTTTGGTTTGTCAACTTCTTTTCTTGTTCCATCGGATAATTGATACAAATTAAGAATTCCTTGGCCACGGCCACCCACGAAGACCTCTTGGGTAATCCACATTATAAAGCTCTCTACGAACAGGCTCGCGATCTACATTCGCGCCATGAAAGTCTCTTGTACGTGATGAACTTGAAGGGTCATCACCACACCAACTCATTCTCTTCCCAGAGCCGCATATCACCTTCTGGCGACTACAATCCCGCAGGTTTTCACTGTTATCCCGAATCCGATGGGGATCACGGCCCCCGTCGGTTTGCCTGGCGTCCTCCCCATTACTCCTAATATTCCTGAATACACCAAAGAACAGCTCCCCGAAATCAAGTTCTGGAAGAGCAAGGACTGGAAAACTTACGCCGCCAACCACGGTGATTTTTTGACGATAAAAAAGAAGAAGGACAAGAAGTCCGACAGTGACAACGAGGACGAGGACGAGGCCGAATCTGAAACTGGTGATGCCAAACTGAACGTACTCGGTTTCTTGGAACACGACGATGGCACACCTTTCGAGGAGGAAGAGCGCGACCATGTCCGTCAATGCGCACGTGAAATTTTTATCACACTGCAGGCTGCACAACGCGCGCCGCTCAAGTGGTCCCTAGCCACTGCAGAGGTGACAGCATTCTTTCGTGGAAGTCTCGCCGAAAAGGTCCCTGCGGTTGCCTTTGCCCATTTGAACTGGAAAGTTGACGTCGTGGGAACGGTCATCTATGCTCAGTGGTCCCATTATTGGCGCGAAGCTCTGAAGGCCCAGCATCCCAATCGTGCTGTTACCTCAAAACCTTCGTCGAAGAGGTGCGGGACGCCACATCCTGATGCCCCTCGGAAAAAGAAACGCTCCAAAACCGATCATCAGGCCGCCTCTTCGTCCACGCCATCCCCACCATCGCTCCCTGACTCGGATAGTCTAATTCATGTCAAGGCTTGGGCAGCCGAAAACAATAATCCATCGCAAACTCCTCTTGCCAGCTCCAGCTTGTCCTCGCCCTCTCCAGCTCCCTCCAGCTCCCCAGCACCTACCTCTGCAGTTCCCGTTTCCATATCAAATCGGAGTTCCCATTCGGCCCCATCCAAGGACAATATTGCCGCTCAGCCGAAAATTCCGTTCAAATCCAAGGTAAGATCAGACTTGATCGTCTCTGATTATGAATTGAGGGCCGCCTGGAAAATCTAGGTTGTAAGCCCACTGTAAGTTTGAGCATTGCACGTATATCACAACTGATCTATCCCATTTGTGTGATCTAGGGATAACATTTTCGAAGAGGAAGTCATTCCGGCGGCTCGTTTGAAGGACATGGGCAGTAGCAGCGGTACGTCCCTTTCTCATGGAGCCGTAAATTTGATTGGTGTGCTTACGGTGAGTTGCCTTCATCAGGTCCTCCTATCATCCCCAACGCGTCGACCATCCTGAAGGCTGCTGACAAGAAATCAACCAAACACGTCCCAGGCACCGCCGACACGGCGTGGTAAGTTTTTTTCAATACATGCAGCACAATTTCTCATCACTGCGCGACATTAGGAATCTCTTCGGCCATGATTATCTCAAAAAATGGACGGAGAAGAAAAATCCAGCCACAAGCGCAAAAGTACGAGAAGCTTTTGATGCTCTGCCGGCGGCTGAAAGACAGGTGTGTACGTGAATATAAATCAAAGAGTCTTGCTTCACCATATGCAGCGATATACCGAACTAGAGAAGCAGTATAAAGCTGAAAAGAAGGACACCAAGAAGAGGGCAAAGGAGGCGGGAGAAACAAGTGCAATGGGCCCGGCGGGGAAGGGAAAGCAGAAGGAGGGTGATGAGGGAGAGTAGTTTAACGTGCGACTGTAATAACACGATGCAAATTAAGATACTTGTACAGTTGAAGCTCCAAGGGCGGGATTGGGGCGGGACGCGGCGCCGGCAGGATATTAATAGCACGACGCGACGGTCGTTGGGCGTGGGAGCGGCGGCGGAGTCTGAAACACCTCTTGTTCCCGTACCACCACCATCTCCGTCCGGCGCCTCGCCTGCTGCCTCTCCCTCCCTCCTCCCCCATCTTTTCCTTCCGCCTCCTTCGTTCCCCCGCCAATGCTCTCGCACCAAAATACCCCACAAATACGTGGAAGCAACCCCCGAAAGAGGTTCTGAACCCCTCTGCCTTTGGACAGCCCTTATTGGGTGTGCAAACTCTCCGGTCCTCGGTCTCCCATTTGAGCATCGTCGTTGCCGTCACGGGCGTCGTCAACTATATGAGCGGCCAGATATGTGTACGCGACCATCTATTTTTACGGCTCACGGTTCAATGTGTGTTCCAGCAGGTTCCAGCTACAAGTTCCGGCAGGCGTCGGATTTCCGGTATTTGAAGGGCAAAACGCGGCCGTTGTTCTGAGTGCGTCCACGTTGCGCCTAAGGAATCGAGCTGAGGTCCGTGCAGAGAAGATTTCGACCACGCGAGGCTACCGCTCCGCTGGCACAGATCCGGCGAAGGAATAGTGGGATGGTGCGCAGTACGCTCGGTCATTCATCGAGATCCCCAGCTAACGCGGCGCAGAACGGTACTCAACGACGCCGCAGCCATCTTCCCCGCGCAGACAACGCACATTCGTGGTCCATCGGCCACTTCGCCTTGCACCTCCGGTCCGTCCTCTCCATCTACCCCAACGTCTTCGTCGACGTCGTCCCCCCTTGGCCCCTAAGCCGAAGTCGTCAAGCGGGGCCCTCCTGCCGTACCTCTCGTCCCGATCGCGCCACGCACGGACTACGATAGTGTCGTGGACTCACTGGCGCTCTGTCGTTGCCTCGGGGTAATCCTCTCCGCCTTCCTTGTATTCCGGAAAAGCTGATCCCGTCGCAGACAGGGCCAACGCACTCACCATCCACTACACCATCAAACACTCCGCCATCGAGGACAAGGACACCACGTCCAAATTGTATCTCGCTGCAGTTGACGGTAAATCGAGTTCTGAGGCGCGCGAAATTGTGACAGACCGTCCGCGGCAACCCGTATGCTGGCATTGGGATCGTGTGTTTTCCTGCAATGCTTCTGGTCTTTTGCATTGATTTTCCTCAGTCCCGCGCACACGAGAGGGCTACTACCGCGTCACCGGCGGTGTCGAGGTACCCGTCTGCTCTGGATCTTTGTTCCGTGTTGACCGAGTCTTTCCAGCCCGCTGTCAAGCAAGTGATGGCCCTCGCACCGTATGCGGACATGATCTAGCTGGAGACCAAAGACCACTTCGTGCACAGCTGAGCTCCTCTTGATTGACGCCGCCTGCGAATACGGTTATTCTCGCCCAACGTGCCTTTTTTGAAGGTAAACTGTTATTTGATTCCAAGTGTTGTACTCACTGTTCTATTTAGACGGGCGTCGTCTCCCCCTTCGGGCCAGCTACACGGTATGCTCCCAATCCATGTCTTTATGTTTATGTTTAATGATTTACATGGCATTTTTAGCATTCGACAGACACAAATATGCTCTTCGTATTATCCAGGCGCCGACAGTGAGTTTGATTTATGTGCTGTGTATATATTCCTGACGGGCGTGGTTTCCTTAGGTTCATCTCAATACTTCGATGGGAGGACTTCAACGCGGCGACTCCGACAGCGGGAGCGGCAGGCGAACTTAGCAGGTGGGTGGGGCGCCAGGGCGGCGGCGTGGCACGGCACTTTGTATTATACGTAGCAAGTGAATATATAGTATTATGGGAAAATATGGGGAACACACATCTGAGCATAGCTGAGCACGTCCTAGCGTATGGATTTTCCAGATTAAATGCTGATATGCGCTCGGATGTGCTCGGATGTGTGCTGCTTTAAAGAAGCACATTTCAGCACATTTGAGCGTAGGAGCCCACAGATCATTCTTACTGGGCCGTTCAGTCAAAAAATGCAAAAGAAACATCTTTGCAACATCACAAACTTTATTTCACATTTTTCACTTTGATTTCAACTCAAAAAGTGGTGAAAAATGTTTTGAATTTTTCACTTCTTTTTTCGGTGAAAAAATGCCAATAAATTGAATAACATTTTTATGAATTTTTTCACTCAAAAAATTGAAATGTTCAACAAGTGATATTTTGCATTTTTCACCTTGAGTTTCAGTCAAAAATGTGAAACAAACATCTTAACAATATGACCAACTTTGTTTCACATTTTTCACTTTGATTTCTGCTGAACAAATTAGTGAAAAAACTTTTGATTTTTTCACCATCATTTTCACCTTGAGTTCAGTCAAAAAATGCAAAAGAAACATCTTAACAACATCACAAAATTTGTTTCACATTTTTCACTTTGATTTCAAGTCAAAAAAGTGGTGAAAATGTTTTAAATTTTTCACTTCTTTTTTCGGTGAAAAATGGCTATAAATTGAACGAAATTTTTTATCAATTTTTTCACTCAAAAATGTGAAATGTTCAACCAGTGTAGGTGGAGGATTGTGATGGGGTGGTGCTGGCTGCCCATGCGGTGAGACGTATCTATTGGCTCGCTTAGCACAGTGGTAGTGCATTGTACTTATGTGGAAACCTATTGAGAATGCAAGGGTCCTGAGTTCGACCCTCAGAGTGAGCATGTTTTTAGTTTTTCTTCTTAACCGGCCCGCCATCATTATTTGTCTCTAACTCTCAGCAGCTCCCGGATGCGCCTCATCGAGCATCGGGCCCTCTGGCCTGTGCTGCCTTGTGAATTACTTTATTATTTCTCAGGAGAATAGATGCAACTAGCAAGCTCCCCTACTTCGAGGTTGAAGCTGGTTGAATAAGGCTCCACCCATTCAGTTTTCATTTGAACATCTGGGGGCCTTGAAATCAAACAGAAACAGTATTTAAGGGTTTTAAATCTGTTTAAAACCGTTTCTAAATGGTATATTCTGCTCACCTAGTTATTCCTATGTGTTGGGCTTGTAGTGGGTCAACTCACACCGGCCATTAAGTAACTTCGGTGCACCTGATGTGCAATCTGAAATGAGTCCGGGAATTTTCCCATTGGTCCGGAAAATGCCGAGCCAATAGGAAAATTCCCGGACAGGTTTCGAATTGCACATCGGTTGCACCGAAGTTAGCTAATCGACGGTGTGACTATTCAATCCGTGGGGATGAGGACATCTCTTCATATGTTCATCATCAGCTGCCAGTGGCAGAAGAGCGCGCGACATGGCCATCGAGAGCCCCGAAGTCCCCATTTTATGGCTACACTGATTATTTTCGTATTGTTCTGAGTAGTCACTATGGGACATTCAGGTCGCCACCAACTCACCATACGCTGTGCTGTACGATGGGGGAGTTCAACAACCATTTAATTTCAAACACTGTTTGTGTATGCTAGATCCGACTCTGATCTCGGCTATATCGGGAACCAAATTGTCGAAAAGCCCACGTCTTCGTCTAGGGTGTCAAGTGGAGAAAAATATTTTCAAAAAAACGAAATCTAGTGTCGGTGGTCGTGAAAGTTAGAAGAAGTGCAAGGTCGAACATTCGCAAACCTCGGTTTCAAATTCAAATTTACCCATTGATATACAAGTACAACACGCTCATATGAGGAGCAGAAAAGAAACGAGCCATGACAGTTAAATAATTTAGTCATATTGCGTCAACTACGAACATCGATCAGAAAGGCCCCCGTCAAAGCAGTCGAGGTACTCACATCCAGGGTCAGTGTCCGTGAGCTGTTCACGTCTTGATCGCGGTATATGCCAACCAACGAGTTTCCTTGCTCGTAGAGGGATCCCTTCAGACTGATGACAATAAATTGGAAGGTATCCGATGCCTGACTCCGAATGTAATTTGCTATCTTTGCGACGTTCGTGTTATCCAGCGCAGCGTCTACCTCGTCCAAGACGAAGAACGGTGCAGGTTGATAACTGCCGACACTGTAAGCATTTCCGACGACGCCGAGTCGGATATGTATGTACCTGTGAATAGCGAACAAGAGCGCCAAGGCTGCCACGGTCTTCTCTCCCCCCGAAAGCTGCTCCATGTCGCGGAAGCGCTTCATTGGGGGCATTGCGTGGTATTTGATACCAGCTGCATACGGTTCCTAACCAAGAAATCAGATGCAGCTCGTGCAAACGCCTCGGGAAGCGGAACGCACCTCGTTGTCTTCCAAACTGAGGTAAGCGACTCCGCCCATTGGGGAGGCCTTGCCCTTAGTAAGATCTTTATACACTTGGTCGATACGATCTGAGATGTGATTATATGCCTTGTTGAACAGATCACATCTTGGCTTCGTTTAAAATGTATTTGACGTTAAACAAATTGAGCCTACCTCCGACGTTTGATGTCGTTAAAGTCATCCCGAGCAGTCTTGGAGTCCTTCCGAGCTTTATCCGCCTCTTTCTCGGTGTTGGCGAGTTTGGCCTCGACATCCTCGAGCCTAAAGCATTGTCCATTAGCCAAGAGAAAGATAGGGCACTGCAGTCTTACCGATCTATCGCCTTCATGTTCGGCGCCATTCGCTCGATTTCAGTATTGAGCTTGTTTATTTCGGCGTCGAACTCGGCGATGGCGTCAACAGAACCGTCCTTCGAAAATCAGATTGGGAGCTGGAGAGGGTGGATGACACACACCTCCCGGTCGTCGTCATCTAGAGCCTCGAAATCGACCTCGATTCCGAAGTCTTGGACTCTCCGCGGCTGTTGGGTGCCGTCATCATCCTCATCAACGTCCATGGCCACTTCCTCCCGCAGATTCTGGAAACGATGTTCAAAAGACACGTGGAAAAACCAAGCAAGGAACGCACCTCTTCCATTGGTACATTCTTGAGGTTACCCTGGAGCAACGGCAGCCTGATCTCCTCCAACCGACATTTCCTGTAAATTGATGACCGCTCAAGCGCCGACTTTTCGATCTCGTCGTTCTGCATTGCCCGTCAGATACGATTCATCCAAATATCGCCAACGGGCCAACCTTTGTCGCGATCTCCTTCAGCGCCTGGTCGAGGACCTTGGATGCCTTGGTCGTCGTCCGCTTGACCTGTTCGACGTTTTTCGTCTTTTCGTCAAGCGCTTCCTGCAGACCCGACAGCTCCTCGCGCAACACCGCGATCGCATCCTCAGACTCAGCAATATCCGCTTGCGCCCCCTCTTTCTGTTCCTCGAGCTTGACCAGGTTAGCCTGCTCCGTATCGACGGTCTTGTCGAGATTCGCCATCCGATCTAATGAGGCGTTCAGCGCTTCCGCTTCGAACTCGGACCTGTGCAAAGAAATATCAGATAAGAGAAACGATGGGCAAGGGATGGACGCACTGATGAGTGAGCCGGGCAATCTGGTTATCGAACCGTAACCGCGCCTCGCTCTCCTCTTGGGCGACCTTCAGTTGGCGCTCCTCGTACTCCCGGATGTTCGCAACCTTGATCTTGCGACAGAACGCCGCAAAGGTAAAGTCCTCTGCATTGTTGATGGTCTCGGCCAGCTCCGTGATTTGCTCTTGCAGCCTATCGTACGTCGTTTGAGTCTGGTGTGAAAGTGGTCAGTTAGGTCGGTATATCAATCGGAGAGAGTCCGCACCTTTTTCAGCTCGGGGGAATTCTTCTTCAGCTCCTTGTCGATGTGCTTCAGCTCGTCCCGGATACCCGTCAGGCGAAGTTTGCACGCGTTCTAAACAAAAGTAAGATCGACGAGCAGCCACTGTGAGGATATACGCGCAAGATCATCCTTTGCGAGGGTGATGGCAGACTCGATCCGGCCAATATCCCCAATGAGAATCTCGTCCGTCTTTCCTCTAGGCTTTTGCTTGCTCAAGTCACGCAGCTGGGCCAGTAACCCATCTTTGGCGCGAGTTAGCTCTGTAAAAGCGCGCCCCATGAGCCCGGTGTACGCAGATGAACACTTCATCCGTACCTAACACATCCCTCTCATCCCACTTCTTGCCGCTGTTATGCGTGCTCTTCCCGCCCGTGATGAGCCCGCTCTTGTGGATGATCGTCCCCTCCAGCGTAACAGCTGCCGCAGTCCGTAAGCAAAGCAGCATGAATTAAAGGAACGACCGATGTACCCTTGACCTCCTGCCCCTTCTCATAACAAACGTACCGCGCCACCTCCATTGTGTCGCACACAAGCGCGTTCCCGCACGCATGGTGCATCGCCCGCTCGACCGCCGGCTCGTACTGGATCACATCCACCGCCAGCCGCGCGCCCTTTGCAAACGAGCGGAATTTGTCGTTGATCGGCTTGACCTCGATCGTGTCGAGCGGAATGAATGTTGCCTGGCCGATGCGTTGGTTGCGCATATACTGTTTTCAATGAGCTGCCATTCCGCGGCCAGCAGGCAGGAGTACACACCTCGATGCAGTCTATGGCAATCTTCTGCGTGTCCACCACGATCGCGTCGATGTTCCAGCCGAGCACGACCGATACCGCCGTCTCGTATTTGCGTTGCGACGGCTTGCACAGGTCCACAACGCGGCCACGGACGCCTGGGAATAGCCGCTGCAGGCTCACCAACGTCTCCTTGAGCTTGGTCTCTCTCTCCGACTCGTGCTTGTCCACCCCCGCTTGCAAAAGCTGCGCATACACGTTCTGCAGCTGCTCGTTCGCCTGAGCCTCGAGCTGCTGGATCTTGGTGCGCTCAGACTGCTGATTGTCCAGCTCTTGCTTCGTCTTCGCGAGATCCGTATGCAACCCGGCGATCTTCTCGTCAAGCTAGGGCGGCCATTAATCCTGCACTCCTGCACCTTTGAGTCTCGCCGCAACGCAACGCACCTCGGTCTTCCGCGCCGTCTGCACCTGCTCGTCCGCGAGCCGCGTCTCGCGGTTCTCCTCCAGTCCGGACTGCTTCTCCTTGAGCTGCCCCAGCGTCCGCGTGGTCGTCTTGTGCTCGCGAGTGAGCGCCTCGAGCGACTGCCGTTCGTCTACAGCCAGGACACTCGCATTCGCTTTCCTACATATAATATCAGACTAAGGAGCCCAGGAGAAGGTGCAGGACGTACAGCTTCCGGTACTCTATGAGGCTTTCTTCTCCGAGCGCCATGTTGTGCAGAGACGCCTTCCTCTGGGCCTCTGCGCACACATTAAACCTGCACTTGAAACACATAGAGGACGAACCTTGCGCGGCATCGGCCGCCCGCTTGACGCTCGCGAGCTCCTTCTGGAGGTTGTTCAACCGCATCTGCAGGTTCTCGCGCTGGCCCTCCAGCTCCGCCTTGGCCTTGGTCGCGTTGTTGAGCTTCCTCTTCGCGTGCGCAATGTGCGCCTCGGCCGTGACGAGCTCGGGGCGCTTCCCGTCGAGCCCCTTCTCCGCCTTCTTGATCTTCTTCTCCATCTGCATCACACCCGTGCGTGTCTTGGCCTGCTCCGCGCGCGCGGCCTCGAGCGCCGTGTCGTGCACGCGCTGTTCCGCGCGCAGCCCCGCGAGTGCCTTGTTTTGAGCACGGATCTCACGCGCGTTGCTCTCGATCGCCTCCTCGAGGTGGAACAACTTGAAAAGGATACGGTGGAGAATGCGTTGGTCCTGCAATAACGAATCAGCTGCGGAAATACGTATAAAGCAGGTCGGCGTACCCGCTCCTGGCAAAGGGAGTCGAAGCGATCGGCCTCGCCCTTCTGCTCCTTGTACTGCTTGATTTCTCCAGCGAT